TAGAAACCATTGAAGTGTTATGCTGCATTAAAATGAAAAGGAACTTTCGAATTTAATACATTTCGAAAAATTCACGCATCGTATAAAAATTAGACGACAAAGATAATCATGGATATTATCTTTGACTTAAGGATCAAATTTATATTTATGAAAATATAATTTTCATCCTCGAATTTTTTGCTGTGTATAAAAAGACACTTGAATCATGATACGTAAGTTTGTAACTATCACGAACAGGTTCAAAGATTTTTAGTAAGACGCCCTGTTTATATGAGAAGCATAAATTATTTCCTGTGAGAAAAGATCTACTTTCGTGGTGGGAAAAGATTCATGGGAACTGTGGCATTTTGTGTAAATCTTCTTTGTCCTTCTCTTTACTTGAAGGTTCGTGTAAATTGATTTTTTTGTTTGTTGTAAATTAAAAAAAAATCTTTAATCGTGTTTTACCTCCACTCAAATCAATATATTTCCATAAATCGGAGCAATAGTATTATTAATCTTCTTAAAAATCATTCTAGTATTGACTTAGTTATCTTTTACGTTAGAGGTTTAGATAGAGAAATTAGAATAATTGTGCGGGAGTGGCCTATAGGAAATTTTCCCGAAACATTATCATTACAATTCATTAATGTTCTTACGGTGTGCAAACACGAAAGCCTGCTTGACCAGCGAGTATTAGACATTGAATTCTGACTTCTTGAAAATAATTTAAGTCTGTATACTGTATATAGTGTCGGAACGTTTATTATATGGAAAATTTTTAATTTACTTATACAATATGTATAGCATTTTTCACTGTTTAGCCTAGATATAAAATTAAGCTTTTTTAATAAATGTAACCAGTATTAGAAAATTAAATACAATTCCATAAAATTGATAAAATTATTTTAATTAGTCCAATTTAAAATGTGATAATAGCAAATATCTATGCTATAAATGGAAATGCCTAACACGTTGCCAGATCGAATATTCGAATGTTTGATCTGGAAAAGAACTTTGATTTCTAAATCTTTAGCAAATGAGCATCGTTGACAACTTCTTGAGTTTCTTATAATTCGACAGTAGTATGTTATATTTCTTGTGTAGACATAAGAATAAGCGGGCTCGACTGTACGTATTTAAGAGAGCATCATCAGGATAAATGCATTACGCTCCTTTATCAGAAGTAACGAGATCACTCAAAGGACTGTTAATGATATTGGATTTTCTCCACTTTTTCATGTCTCTAAGATGCTCTATGTAACTTATAACACACTTGGAAATGTTAAAAATTCATTATCACATAATTTTACTGTACTTACACATTGGTTTCCGTTGTTATTTCATCGATTTTATTGTTCTATCGAATAATTAAGTGAATACAGTATATGTCACTTCCCGAAAATACAGTAGGAAATCTAGTTGAAAATGTGAACGTCCTCGCTCCAAAATTTCTAAATGTTCTCTAATGGGACATAAAATATAAAAACAAATAAGTAAAGTCGCGTGACCTACAAAATCTTATCGCTAATCACTTCTTGCCTTATCCCCTCGAGATGAGGATGTATGTCATGTGCGCTGTTTGTTCATAAATATATTTGGGCTGCAATTTGAAAAAATCGTAGACCTATAAATTCCTACGGTCTTTCCTTAATCTCGACAACGGAGTTATCTATATGAAAGATGAAACTTGATATGGAAACCTTAGGGGCAGGAGGCCCGATTAACTATATACGAACTTCCAATGCAAACCAGAAATTATTTGAATTCAAAAATTTTCTCCCGAAAAGTGTTAATGATCGGCATGACTCCATTGTTAAAGGAAAAGTATGATGTACAGGGGTAAGCCACTACTAATTTTGAGATGGAGAGCATATGTTTTCAATTAATTTATGACGCCTTTTTAAATATGTCATTGCTTTTCATGTGTATCCAATAAAACTTGTTTATGATGATTCTGTAAGAAATGTTTAGTAGAAAACTGGCTAATGGAAGGTTTCATCAAATTTCCACATAACTTACACCTACACCATAGTGTTGAGAGCCCTGTCGCCATGTGTCCTGAGAGGTGATGTACAGTACTGTAAGATTAGATACCCTTATAAATCTTTAGAATAGTGTTCCCTTGTGCGGACTGCTACGTTAAAACTTCGGTCTACATGCTTGTTTAAATGGATTGCTGTGTTAATGGGTGTGGCTAGTATAATACGTCGGGAACATAGGAGAGTGCTCTTATCCGATGCTTTGTTAAGTGGACTCGACTGTATAAATTCATTCAGAATGTGTAGCATCTATATATAAACATGACATTAAAATGTTTTCGGTGAATTTGTGGAATAAAACTTTTAAATATTTATTGTAATATTATAAAATTCTTTTATCACATAAATTGTAACGGTATGTTGTTATAATAATTTAAAACTGAAATAAAAATACTCTATTTTTCGCTTATTTTAATTCGGTTTTATCGTTAAAAATATGAATGCTATTAAATAAATGTTTTAATAAAATTATAGAATTCTATATTTCATATCGTTTCTCCGAATTATTATATCAAATTGTTGTGATGGATAGAATAATGAAGGAGAAATTTGCATACAAAACGAGAATTCCCTTTCGAATTGAAATTTAATTTCGTATTCCTGGTCAATTATTATTTACTTTGTAATTAGTATTGTTAATTGAATGGAAAATATTTCCTAGAAAAAGAACTAAATTCGATTTTACTTATATACACAAGTTTGTATTTTAAGTAACGCTATTATATGTCAGTTGTCACTAGCTTTATAGAAAAAGATTTCTGGATTTGTCAAAACTTGAAATATCAAATAACATTTATCAAAATTTGCTTTTTACAAGATTATTCTTTTATCAACATATCACTGGTGTTACTTTAAAAAATCGGTTTACTTTTAAATAAAAATTCTCTCCGCCTTGTAAGCATTAAAAGAGCCTTTACAGCAAGCTCATTTTGGTGCGGCCCAGTGGTGCATTATAACTTCATGGGACCCAGGCGAATTTGAATTAGGAAGCCCCATGTACAGTATTGTAAGGCATTTTTCTTCGGAATGTGTTAGGGGAAATATTTTGATTTGGAACCCCAATGTTGGTGGGGTTGCCCTTTTTGTCTATAAGATAACGTGCCACTGATGGGGCCGTGTAATGAGGGACAGAATCCACATATCCTGACGGACCATCCCCGAAAACTTCCTGGGGTGACCCTGGGGGCCCCATACCAGTATGCCGCCACCTATCTTCTCGGCCATACGGATTTACTGAAAATATAATTTGAACGTGCAAAAACGTGCAGTTTGTGTGAAATTGTGCTGAAGTAGTCACGTTTGCATACAGTATTATAAAGTTATAGGCTATATATCACTTCTATATTGCATGAAAATAATTAAATACTTGCAGTATTATCAAATACAACTTTACTATTCATGATGTTTCTTATGTTAAGTTTACACAATAGTAACTGATCAGTTGCAGTCATGTCTGATTTTAAATATAATCTATAATAAACACTACAACAATAGGTTAACTGCTGTTAAAGCATTTTATTGTAAAGCGATGAAAGAACTCTTAAGAATATTAAATATTTACTTCTGAATAAAATCTGATATTTTAAATTGAGAATGCTTTTAGTTGTCTACACATTTTACCGAATTTATATTCGGATCAATCATACTTAATGAAGCATTTTATTTCGTGTTGAAGTTGAACGAATGTTTTCCTTTCTTAAAAAATTCAATATAATGTAATAGTATATTAAGTTTATATATGCATGCATGCAAAATACATTATAATAAATACGTATATAAATTAACATGCAGTTTAATTTTTTGAATTAATCGTAATTACTATTGATTTACCGCTAATGTTAATTCGCTGCTGCTTCCTTTTATGCTAATATTAAATAAGAAAATAGCGAATTGATAGTCTCAAACTATTAATTAAAATTCGTCCGGCTAATAATAATGTAATCAGTTATAATTAGGAAAAAATAGTAAAGGTTGCATCATTATTTACGTTGATTTAATACGGAATTCAGTTTGATGTGTTTTATTAAAACAATAGACTAAAACGATAAAGGAATGTGACGCAAACCTTGTTAGAGTGGAAGGCACGTATTTCGTTCAGATATTTGTGTTTTATTTTCGTTTGTATTGCAGTAAATAAATAGTTCAGCTTTGTATCGTCGAGACGCAGCCTATCGATTTATGACGTAAAGCAAATCTCTCTCCTTCCTGGCAAAGCGGGATGTAGGCAACTGTTATAAGCTTTCTCCCTGTTGGATGCGACTATGTTTTGTCTCGTTTCCGCTATTGTTTTTTTAAACAGTTTCCTTTTGTTTAGGTAACCTTATCCGTCCATTCTGAGGTAAGATTAGTGCCAAGAATTCTTACATATGGATATAATAACTATAAAATTCTACCGTTCCATTGTGTATACATGCCGTGTCGAAGATAGCATCTTTATGCAGTTGTCTCGAAGACATTTGTGTACATTATACTAGCTTACATGTATTTTTTTAAGTGAAATAAATGTAAAATGTGATTCCTAAGATGATTTTATATTTTATTTATACGCTTCCGCAATGCAGTTCTCTCGTTTTATTACGGATTATTAATAATTTAATTCTTAAAATAGTTTCTCTTGCAAAAATTCGTTGGGACGTCGAAAAATTCCGATGACGCAGCTTTCAATCATTGATTACGTTCAAAATTTACGATGATTTCTGAAGCAGGTGGTGATAAAATGTTCACGAGAGAACGGTCTTCTCGAATATTATTAATTGATGACGAATTTCCAATGCATTTTACTTTCTTAGACCGACGACAGTTCCTGCCTAGCTTTTAGTATTGACCGGTTTGTGTCGATGACCTACAAAATGGTGGTTGACGCTCCTCCACATCCTCTGTACGCAGTAGATAATCTTGTTCTCGATGTGCCTTGTAAAAAAATAATCTAGGTTTAAAGCAATGCACAATTGTGCATTAATGTTTGGTATTTACTTGTAGGTTACGAAAACGAAGACTGGTTTATTCAGACTCCTGTTCTTCCAGTCGACGAGGACCTTGATCTGAGTCCTGACGTTATCGAAGAGACGTTGAGATACTTCGGTAAGAATGCATGTTTTTATATCTTATTTAATAAACAATGATATATATATATATTAACGCATTAAATTTTTATATTTCTCTATAAAACTTCATTATTGCATTAATTTTATATCGTAAAATTCACTGTGGGAAAAGTAAAATTTATAACGGATTACTCGATTTATATACGAAAATATATAAAAATTTGGCAAATTTTATTAATAGATTAAAATTTCGGATGTTAAATTTTTATTTTACGTATATGAATTTTATATGTAGTCATGCAACGAATATATATAAAATTTATTATATAGTATATAAATATATTAAATGAAATAGTTTTAAAAATCTAGTGATTTGTTATTTTTCAATAATTAATAATAATGGCTTTAATTTTATCATCTTTTAAGAATCTCTGATGCATAATTGAGTTTTAATTATATATAATTTTCTTATTGTTTAAACTGCAGCTTTATGTTAAACCAAACTTGAGCAGACCAGACTTTGTTTTTATTTAAAACACAAATATACACCCCACACACAATCCAAAAATTATTTGCATTTCCTTACAAGAATCAAGAATCTTGTTATATAATTGCATACTTTCAGCTTTTATTTTTTTATTTAAATCTGGTTATCTTCCTTGAACCTCATAACACAATGGGATACATTGCAACCTTCAAAATTTCCTTCTGTTACAAGACTATCAGAGTCCAATTTTTCTATAAACATATGTTTTCAAATACTTTTTTAATATTTCCATTTAAACCCAATTTTCAGTATATCAGTAATATATTGTAATATATCATCAAAATTATTTATTAAATTAATAAATTAATTGATTATTACAGTTATATGAATTTGTGCAAAACTATACCTTTTTAACAGTAACGCTTTCCACAGATGGTTTTATTTGATAATGAAATTGTAAGTGTTCAGATGATGATAAAATATACAATATAATTAAAACATTAATTGCAATAAAGTGTTGTTAAATGTTTATTTCTTGAGTAAAATTCAAAAATTTCTTAAAAATTTTTAATTATTTCCCAATAATAAAAAAATATCTTACTTCATAATAAAAATTTTAATGTAAAGAAAATTATAATTTACCCAAATTATTTGACTTAATTTTTGTTTAAATTTAATGAGCAGTTGATTCTTAACAACGTAGGATTATTTTATATAATAATAAATGAATTTTTTTTTCCTTAAATTCGATAAAACTATTTAAAAAATGGTCTTATTAGAAACGTATGAATGAATGCAATATTTTCTATTCTTAAGTCGTAGCTAGAAAAACTAGTATTGTTAACTTTTTATTGAATCACTCTTATGGGACTAATTACCATATACACGTGAATAATAATTATATATAAAGTAACATATAAAATCACTTTATAAATAACATTTTTAATAATTTCAGTAACAGTATATTTAGAATTAAATATTAAACTTTTAAATATAACGTTCAGTATATAATATATACAAATGATTAAAAACAGGTTAAAATATTTGTCAGCAAATTTTTTTTTTCAAGGTAATCATTAATAATCTTTCTAAAATTTCTATAGATGCCTTTCTCTTAATTTATTCATTTAGAATAAATGAACTTTAATTACAATAAATGCTAGTAATGGAAGCTCTAAACGTTTCTCTGCAATTATCTTTCATATAAACAGTTAAAACTAATTTCTACTCAGTTAAGTTTTGGATATTTCTATGCTATAAACATAATTTACGATTCATTTAAGGACTATATTACGTATGTATTTGAATCTTAAGAAATTTATGTTAATTTTTCTATTTTTTAGGTAGATTATTATGTTTTTGTAATTATTTGAATTTTCAACGTCATTATTTTAAGTACTTTTAATCTCAATACTAAGACATCACAATGGCAAGGTTAACATGTTTTTAAATCATCACTGTTTTGATTTGAAATGTGAAATATTTTGCTTAATGTTTGTACATTTGTCATAAAATAAACCTGCAATAAATTTCAAGATTATTAAAATAAATAGATTGTGTGATGTTTTTGTACACACTCCAACAGAATCTATTAAATAATTTAAGCTTGAATTATAGAAGTTAGTTAAAAGTTTTCAAGATTCTAGCATTGAATGAAACTTCGTGTTTGGTGCTAGAACCTTGAGAAAGAAAAAAGCTTTATAGAAAACTGGAAGGCTTCGAAATAGAATCCATTTTGTTGCATTTAATGTTCTAAAAAATCTGTAATTAGGTAAACGGAAGCCATTTTCAATATTTCATCTGTTTGTCTGAAAGTGCTTAACATATTTTCAGCATATTAATACAGTAATTGCTTATTGTAGGTGATGTTAAGTGAACCAATTTACTTTTCTGTTAACATTTCACTATACAGAGATGTCTGTGAGTTTATAAAAACAAAATGTTTCAACTGTAAACATATTTTATGTAGAAATTTCATTAAATATCATTCACAAAAGCAAGAATTCAGCTTGTAGATTAAAAAGAAAACAAGTTCCATTTCTTCTTCCGTTTCCAAATCCGTTCTTTTAACATGAAGATGGTTGCTCAAGGCAATTGAAAATGTTTGTTTTCCTTTCACTTTTTATGTATGAGCCGGATTTTTTGTTTTGTGAGTGATATTTATATTTTTCATTCATTATACCGTATGTTTATTACCTAGAAATTACATTGTTTCGTCGTCGAGTGTGAAGATTTTGTTTATTTACAAGAAATGTTTGTAGGAATTTTCCGAGAATATTTTTTGTTTTATATAAAATAATTGACTAGACTGCAATTTCGGTTACTTTGATATTTTTCCTTAATTTCATATATTTCTTTACAAATTTGCATTTTCCTCTACGAAAATAATTAACAAGAGCAATAAAATATTTTTAAAATGTCCATTATTAAGTTAATATGAATTAATCATAAAATAATTTTTCTGACGATTTCGTATAAATTTTTATTTCACGAAAAGGATTGCGTTAAATATATTCTCAATAAATTCAGTTTTATAAGATATTTTGTTAAATGGTATCTGAAAGATAATTCATAAAACTGTTAAAATTATATTTAATGTATAAATGATAAAATTTACTTGTAGATTCTGCGGTATGAAATCTTATTCGAATTTAATCGTGCTTTCGTAATTATTTTTTCATGGATACTTCTATTCAGACTGCCGAATCCGAAAATTAGTTCGAATTTGCTCTTTAAACATAACTTATTTAATTGTGGATCAGGTTGCTTCCCTTAATAAGCACAATTAAACTCATTAAGGCCATTGTTAATTCTGCTCTCCTGTCAAAAATAAGATCGCATATTCATTCATTTTAATCTTTCATTAAGGAAATTTTCACCTTAGATTTCAGTTATTAAAATATAAAATAGTATATAATATAAAATTATCCGTTTTAGTAATAAATTAGGAAATTATTTTGCCAAGTTTGCTCGAAAGTTGAGTTTATAATAGAACGAATTAAATATTTCATTTGGAGGTGATTTAGAAATAATTCTTTTAAATGTTTATATTAAAGTCGAGCTTACTTTCATATTATATCACACCAGGAAGTAAATTCAATTGACTTGTGCTATTTCTGTATTAAACTGTTCCAAGGAGTTATTTTGGCAATAGAACAAGGACTCTAATTTTCAAGTCCTTGTCAACTTTAATGTTAACTTAGTAAATAGCTAAAAATATATCTTTGTGGTGTTGGCTTTGTCATTAATATGACGTTGACATTTGTTGCAATACTGTAGCAATTCTCATCCCGTCTTAGAGAATTATGAATTAAGCTTGTTTATATTTTTTAAATGAGAGTTTTAAAGATAGAAAAATAAACTCAAGTGTTTTTGTATTTGTTACTATTGTAACCTAACCTAACCTTAAAAATTCATTATAATAATTGAAAAGAATTTAGTATGATTTTCATCATCATATTCAAAATATGTTTGATTACAATATGCTGTAAATATGGATATTGCATAATATATTCTATTTTGATTTCTTAACAATAAATACTAATTGGTACAAGAGGAAAGGAGGACTAGACGAGGTATTGAAGTAAGACAAGTCATCTATTGTACAAAATAAAATACCGCATCCTTAAAGGAAAACCCGCAATTAATCTTTCCTCTTAAAATCTGGAATAGGTATATACCATTTTCGAAGACAGTTGCAGAAATAATAATATAAAATTTGTACAAACAAAAATATTGGACGTAATGTAATTTTTGTGTTTTTGAACCATATTGGTTTATTATTGAACGATATTATGTAAGAATATAATAATAAATAGCAGTTAGAAATATCGCTTATGAATCTAAGCAACGTTTGTTTCCATTAAATAACTAATCTACAATCTATCGTCTTCGATAAATGGCATTTGAGGCCAAGGCCACCACCGATAAGAAAGCAGCTGGTGAAAGTTATCTAACAAGTAAACCGAAAGAGGACCAGAGAATCCATAAAAAATAATAAATTGCCACAATCTTTATAAACTTTATTAGATTTGATATCACTTTGGTAACTTTTAAACTTTATTTTTGTTACACAAATATCAGAAAATTATTTCTGTATAGTATGAATTAATCATCTCTCTCTATCAGAAGCCATTTAGTTCAATCAGATATTCTGTTGTATAGAGTAAGATGGGATAAAATACATTCATATTTTGCTGTTGGGAAACGCTAACTTTATTGATCTCCTAACTACAAAATCCTTCATGAAGAATCAGAGATTAAAGAATGATAATACTGCTTATTTATAATGGAATCTTTATTATAATAAATTTAGAAGACTAGTGAGCGACTTGAGGATCTTATGGGTAATGAGTGCAAGTTTCTTGTGTAAGTACTGAATAGTTTGTTTTTTTAAAGATGAAAGATAAATGAAATACAATATGAATAGAAATAGTCTGTTTTCGGTATCAGATCAATAAGTTTTAGGGTATTAACACCATATATATTTGACAGTAAAACTCTTCATTTGATAAACTTGCTTTTTTAATTGATGGGGGAAAATAGTTAAATACTCACATGTCCAAATGAATTAAATTGTTTTAAATGCTTTGATGTTTCCAAGTCAAAACTTTGAGGCACTGTTTAATTATTGTGAAGCAAGTAATAATTACATT